CGGGGGAAGTCCGCCCACTGGACGAGGGGCTGATGGCTCCTACAGCCGAAGTTTTGGTTCCTACCCCACCTTGTAAGTACCCGTTTCCCGAGCTCTCCATGGTCGTAAGCGCACTGCCATCCAGTGAGTCCTGACTTGCTGGATCACCCTCCCCCACACACACCTCTGGCCACGAGTGCAGATCTTAAAGGAAGCACACCGCCTCCTTCTTCTGTGGAGTGGCTGGTGGATTTGAACTGCTCACCTTTGGGTTAGTTGGCAACCCTATAACACAGGACACCACTGGAGCCCTTGTCCTCATCTGACCACATGGCGGGATGGTGAGCACCTCACCTGCACATCTGTCCTCCCCTGACCACGTGGCTGGATGGCGACCATCTCACCTGCCCCTCCCCTTCCCCTGACCACATGGCAGTATGAAGAGCGCCTCACCTGTTGGCGTTTCTCAAACTCCAGCTTGATGCGGGACTTGATGCAGTTGCAGGTGTCCTGGTAGGTCTGCTGCAGGGCCAGCTCCATGAGGTGCTTGTGGTAGGCGCCCGCCAGGTTCCCGCAGATGAAGATGATCACATTGGCCAGGATCTGGGGGCAGAGAGGGACAGCGCTGAGGACGTGTCCACAGCGGCCAACACTCGTTCAGCGCTTCACACAATCAACGTCCCCCGCTTCCAACCAAGACCCCCATCTACGGAACGGGAATCGGCGGCCTTCACAGAACCCACATCCACCTCTCCTGCCCACCTTGGTGAAAGTGGAACCTCTGCCATTGTGACGTCAACATCGACAGGGTCACCCAGGGCACAGACTCCAGCCGAGCTTCCAGGCTGGCACAGGCTGGCACCGGTTCACACAGGCTGACACTGGCTGACACCGGCTGGGAGGAAGGTCTGGAATGGCCCCCAGAAACCCGGCAGACGCTGCCTGAGGACTGTCCACACGGAGCGGATGGACAGTCCCCGAGGCTGGACAAGACCTACAGCGCCTGGTGGCCTCCACAGTGGACTGGGAAGTTCTGACACTCCCTGAAGACGGCATAGGCTGGGTAACACTTCCTTCTGATGGGCATGGGGTCACCGTGCACTGGCATCAGTGAAACCAGAGGGTGTGAGTGTCCTTTGTCCTAGTAGAACTTGGGAACCACAGGCCTGGACACACTGGCCATTGTGAGGACGGCACGGGACGGGGGGGTCCACTGAACCAGGGCCGAGCAGAGGACCACTAATAACTGACTCCACGTCCCTCCTGGAGCCCCACCTGGGTTAGAAGGAGACTCCTCCCCTACGTTGACTCAGAGCCGTGATGTGCTGCTGCTCCTTGTTGCTGGGGCCACGGAACCAGCTCAGACACGCAGCAACTCGACACGCAACACAATGAACCCCTGCAGGTCCCGCTGCACCCTCACCGTGTCCACCATGCTGACCATTCCCATTCCACCCTCACCACGTCCATCACACTGACCATTCCCACTCCACCCTCACCACGTCCACCACACTGACCATTCCCACTCCACCCTCACGTCACCACACTGACCATTCCCACTCCACCCTC